TGTCCCTCAAAATGATACTTGTACAATAACAAAGTTGTTTAGAATATCTTTTTGGCCTTTAAAAAATGTAGAGGGGTGCCCAGATGGCTCAGTCAGTTGAGCGTCCGTTGGCTCAGGTCATGATCTCCCGGTCATGGGATCGAGCCCTAAGTTAGGCTCTATACTCAGCATGGAACCTGCTTAGGATTCTTTCCTCTCTTCCTCTTCTCATTCTCTGCTTGCTTGAGTGTGCTCTCTCTCTCTCTCTCTCTCTCTCTCTCTCTCTCTCTGCGTCTCAAAATAAATATACTGTTTAAAAAAACATAGAAATACTTTTAGATGTCAAAGAAAAATGCCTGTAACATTAAGCAACTTTGTACGGGGCTCCCAGATCACTTTTTCCTTCTGATAATATCCCTGTTAACTTTTTATGTCAAACTGGTGACATTTTCTGTTGTATATAAACATGAGTATCCCAGAAATATTTACCAAAGCATTTTTCTGTTGAAATGACTTATCTTTGGATACTTTGGGTCCAGTCCCATGTGGGTCCTGATCTGTAGGCTAGGGAAGAATAAATTCATCCAATGTTACTCAGATTACTTTTTTCCCCTTGATGATTAAAGGCAGTTGTAAAACTGTGTTAAAGTATTCAGGGACATAGTAAAGCTGGTGATTTCCTTATTATGGGTTTATTGCAAGTATTTATATATTGGTTTCTTTTAGGTTTGGCAGCTATGTTTGTGAGTTACTTGTCTTTAGACTTCTCTTACCACAGAATAATCTTTCGTACATCATTCATAGTGGTCTGTCAGTTAGTGTGGAATTTTATGAAAGGATTGAAAACCATGAGGATCAGATGAAAATCTATTTGAAACTTTTGGTTATATTTTTTTCTGAAACAATTGTGATGAACTACATATAAATGTTTAAAAAGCAAAAGTCCTAAAGTTAGCCAAACAGGAAAAGGCGCAGTTAATGGATGAGGGGCAATCCCATCTTGGCACCCCCAAGGGGAAGCCTTAGATTGCTGGAGTCAATCATGGGTATACTGGGAGATTTTGGAAACAAAGGTAGAGAAAGGTGGAAAGACAAAAAAAACAAAACAAAAACCCAACAACACAACAAACAAACAAAACATCCTGCATTGGAGAAGGAGGACAAAGTTTGAGACATGGGAGAGAATTGACTTCATCTATTTCACAACTTTCAAAGGTCAGGGAGGAGCTGTGAAAAGACAGTCATGAAGATGTATTCATTAATGTGCAGCATTGAGCTGAGCACTTGTGAGAGTTAGTATAATGTACCAACGCTGTGATGCAGATCCCATTACTTTCATCATATAAAAAATGGGGATACTAAGATTCCACAGTTTAAATAACAGGCCTGGAGTCCATCAGCCACCGGCTAATGGGCTGGCTGACTTCACTGTCAAAACTTGTAACTGCTTCCACTATGCTTTTTACTAATAATCATAATAATCGTTGTGATTTTTTGTAGCTAATAAGAACAATACTTTCAACATAGGTGCTTTTTCTTCATGAATCTTTAGGAACAAACACATCACTTCTTGATGTAATAGAAAACATAACATGCTTCTAATATATTGATAATTGTATATTAAATATCTCTACCACTCTACAAATTTTGAAAAATACCATTAATGGGGGTGCCTGGATGGCTCAGTGGATTAGGCGTCTGACTCTTGATTTCAGCTCAGGTCATGATCTCACAGTTTGTGAGTTCCAGCCCTGCACTGGGCACTGTGCTGACAGCTCCGAACCTTCTTGGGATTCTCTGTCTCCCTCTTTGTCTGCCCCTCCCCTGCTCATGTGTGCATGCATGCACACTCTCTAAATAAATAAAAACTTCTGAAAAACACCATTAACAGGTTAGATTTGTTTTTACTACACTGAAAATATTGCATTACTTACAGGCAGCTTGGATCCAAGATGCTCTGATTTCAGGGGTAAGGTAAATGCATTCATGGGACGTGAGAAAGTATCAAGTGATGTTTTATCTTTTCCAAGTAATGTATCATGGACACATTTCTTCTTTGTAAAGTAGTCTTTAGGAAATAAGGGCCAAACTTTTTATTCTAAAATATGTATTTCAACTCTTAATTACTTTTTTGTTATACATCAATGGTTTAACGGTTACAGAGAAGCTTTTAGAACATTTTTTTAATGTCTACATTTTTTCACGACAACATTATGCAGGATTTTCCAGTTGACTTTCTGCTCTTGCTCAAACCCAAACTGAAATCACAGAAGGGGGGAAATATGCCCCTTTACTCTTACCAAATAAAATGCTTGTTTCTGTCCTTATTTACACATTATCACAGTTGCCTGAATCCAGAACCACACAGGCCAAAAGTGAAATATAAAATAGTTTGCTTGGAAAACATTTATTGTATGAAGTAATTGTTACTAAATACTTTGGATCAGCAAACTGCTAAATTTCAAGTGGTTTTGAATAATATTTCTGCTAGTGTAAAATTGGCAAAATTTAGTGAATTTCAATAAGTGGAAGCCCAGGAAAATAAAATATAGGAGAATTTTATTAACTAATATAGCTCTGATTGGTTTCAGTTCTGGTTAGTCTGTCAACAGTCTTTATTCTAGGCATGCTCATGGTATTATGTTAGTTTTGCCAAGAATTGCTTTCATAAATCAGGTTTACACTTTCTTTTTTAATATTATGTAGTTTTACATATTTTTGGTTGATATTTGTAAAATAAGAGTTCTTGGCATAGTTGGGCATAAAATACATGACTTCATATCTCTGAAATATATTTTAATGTTTTACTAACATGTTAAGCAGACAATAGGAAAAAGAATTGTTTTTTTCAGATCTGGAATCCCCCCCAGAATACCCTCAATATCTGATATGCTGAAATAACATTTGAGGCTCTATTCAAATATAGACCAAGTTTAGTATTATAATTATTTAGATAATAAGATGTCAAATCGGATCCAGAAAATGAATTGTGGGGGCTCTCAAGGCTTCTGGGAGGTGGAGGCCAGGGTGCCTGGGTGTAACTCTGATTTTCCTCCACAGTGAGGATGTAGCCTTTCTGACCCTGAAATTGGCTTCAGAAACAGGAGTAGGGGTAGGATATCTGTAACTGATTCATACTGATATTGATTGTGTGAGGGCATAGAGACTTGAATAGTGATGAAACTAAACAATAAAGGGCACATGCAGCAAGATATTCAGTTCTTCAGGTCTGACAGTATCATGAGCAATTGCACAACCCCTTTAGGATTCGTGGGGCCAAAGGCACTGAATGGCCACAGCTGCACCTCTTTCATTATGGCCATCTTGTATCTGTAAAGAGTTTACAGATTTTATTTAAATTCAGAAATTAGTCTAAACCTATAGTGGGTTTGTGTATATGTGTATTTGAATGGGAGCTGATTACAGATGGTTTCATGCCAAATTATGGTCTATTGAAATGGAGGCCTTTATTTGAAACAATATTAGTCTTAACCGATTACATTAAGAATATGTATTTCCCACCTTGGAAGGATATAATTCATATCATTTTATGTTCCTTATACATACAAGTCAAATATTTTAATTTTACTTTATGTTTTAGGGTACACCATGCTCATATTTTATAACGTCACTTTAAAATGTATGCGGTTTTATGTTATTTTCTAGTTAGTATGTTTTTAAAGTTTTGTGTTTTCAACTAGACTACAAGCCCTTGGTTGATGGTCATTGCTCAGATACATCTTTTCTCTGCAAAGGGTATGGTGCTGTGGCAAAATAAATGGAGCCAAATAGAATCAAATTAAATTCCAATTTATGATTCAAGTTCAGATTTTAAAACTAGAACTATATGCATGTGTCTTGCACTATAATTGTGGCTAACACATTGACCAGTATTGTGCTAATAAAATCAAGATGTGAAAATCAAGTAAATGGCCGATTCTCCCTGGAATAGAAGATAACTTGATCTCATTGACAGTGGCCTCTCCACCACCTGCCTTGCTTTTCTGAGGAGTACTGCTGTTCTTCGAAAGCCCTGATGATGCAGAGGGCTTTCAAAGAAATACCAATGGGGCCCAATTTCCTGGTCTTTCAAGTTCCTTTTCCTGCCCAAGTCTGTCTACATAGATATATACATACAAATGTTACTTATTTCAACTGCAGTGTCATCAAGGAAGGAGCTAAGAGAAATGAATAAAAATGAAAATTGATTAGTACCATCACTGTTTGCTTTGGGTGGTGAAAGATTATTTTGGTAAATTCATTGACTGTAGAATTGCTTTCCCGTTAACGAATGTGCTGTTATTTTCAAATGTATACAATGAGCATTAATATTCTCTGAAACTTGCTAGAACTTGTACATGTGGATTGTACATGTGAAAGAGCTCTCTGTATTTCTTTCTCAAATGTGATCTGCATATTCTTCATGATTGTGTCAGTAAGGAAATCGTTAGGACAAAGATTGACGTATTTCATACAAGAAATTAGGTTCCTGGGTGTTTCAAGGCTCAATTTGGAGGATATTGGTTAGTCTTGTTAGTTTTTAATTATGGTTGTGAGACAGTGGGCGCCTTTGGAACTGTTGTACTGAATCTGAACTCCTATGATGTGATGGTTTTTCTTGCATTATTCATTTTAAATAATATAGGAATATGTTCAAATGAAATCTCCTTCTTATTTTATCACTTATATTGGTCTCAAAGAAAAATCAAGTTAATTAATACCCTCATAAGCTTCTCTTTCTGAAAGCCTTTATTTAAAACTTTAAATATCAGTGGATGTTCATATAATAATGAATTTCATAAATATTCTCTTTTCCAAAATTGGATTATTATCAGTAGCAGTGTTATAGTGTAAGTGGATGATACAGGTTTGAAATTATGCATTATTTACCAGTTAAAAATCTGATTAGGACTTATTCTTCTTTAATGATACAGTCTCTCTCTCAATCAGTCAATCTCTCTTTCTCTCTATATATATATAGTTTTGTTTTTTAATTAAGATTCTACTTTATTACTTTTTAGGGACTACCAGGATTTCCTGGAAATCAAGGATTAATGGGACAAAAGGTGAGTATTAATGAAAGTTGAAAGATTTGGGCCTAGATCTGTTTATTAAAAGTGCAAAGTGTTGATATCTTCACATAGAATGCATTTTTACCACATTAGTGGCAATAGTTAATTGTTTAAATATGATATAATTTCAGAAAGTATTATTGTCCTTATAATTAGTTTTTGTTTTGTTCTATGTGGATAATATTAATTTGGATTTATACATATGCTTTCTGTTTTACTTGGTTACTTTTCTATCTTGTGCTCTTAGACCAGCCTTTTGGGATAATTTTCCTGTTTTCTGAACTATTTCTTTAGCATTTTTTGAGTACAGATATCTTGGTAACAAACTTTCAGATTTATCTAATTCTAAATATGTTTATTTTACTCTTGCTTTTGAGAGATAATTTTGTAGGGTATACAACTCAGAGTTGATGATTATCTTCACTTAACGTGTTGAGGATTTTCTTCCATTGTCTCCTGACTGCCATTATTAACTATGAAACATCTGCTCTCATTCTAAGTATTGTTCTTTTGTAAGTGATCTGTCCCTTTCTTTGGGATTCTTTTAAGGTATTTTATTTGTTTTTTTGTTTTTTTGGTCTAAAACTCATTACAGTATATCTAGATACACAGCCTCTTTAGTCGTCCTGGGGAGAATTCAGTTTGATCCTGGCTGTGTGGTATTGTTTCCATTAACTCTGGAAAACATCATCCATTATCTCCAAATTACAATTCTTCCAATTTTATTCCTTCCTTCTGGAATTACAGTTAGAGAAATTTTATTCCTTCTCATATTGCCCTCCATGTTTCTAAAGAGTATCTTATTTTTATATCTTTAATTCTTACATTCTGGTTAAATTTTTTTGATATATTGCCCAATTATTCTTCCTTTACTGTGTCTAATCTGTTATTTAAGCAGTTGATTAAAAAAAATACTTTTCTAAAAGTTTAAATTTTTAATAACATCTTTTTATTCTTGATAGCCTCTTGTTTCATTTGCAGTCCTAATAGTCTTTCATGATTCCATTATTTAATTAGTAAAGATCTCATGTATTGTTCTTAATTCTGTTTTAACAATTCCACCAAATGCCCTTTGTTATTTCTGTTAACTCTCAGTCTTGTGGCTTGCTGCTTCCTCTTTCTTGTTGAATATGAGCTCATTGCTTCATGTTAATTGGCATGGGTTCTGTCAGCCTAATTGGGGCATGGGGAGCTGCCTCCTGTTGGTTGCCATGGGTGCCATGGGTACCATATCAGCCCCCTTTAAGAGTCCTGGGTCATCATAGGTATTAAAGATTCCTGCCCTCTTCCCACTGTTAGCCCACCATTCAGTTTCCCAAGAGCTGAACATACATTCTAGATGCCTCTGGCCTTTTCTTGGCTTCTGCATCTTGACCTCTGGCAAGATTTCTGCATTGCTCCTAATCCTCTTAATCATAGCCCCAACCCAGAGTGTATTTAATTAAAATAAGGGATCTTTGAAGACTTCACCCATTTTTTTAAAGACCAGAACTCCCTCACAGAAGATGTTCTTTCCAGAGTTGGTTGTTGTTTTTTGTTGTTGTTTGTTTGTTTGTTGTTTTTTTATGTTCAAGATTCAGACTCCCTTGGAGTACCTAGTTAGCTTGTAGGGCATAGAAATCTGAGAAATTGAAGTAAAAATGCTATTATTCTCTATCCTATTTTTTTAATTAATTTATGTTAACTGTCATACTTCTTAATCTATGATAAATAAGAAATTTTTTCATGTGATTTTTACCCCCTCTTGTCTTTCCTCACCAACTCTGTGTGAACTTCCAGATCTTCCTTTCAAACAATGACAGTATCACTCATGATTTTCTAATAAAAATATTTTACTTAGTGATTCCATAGACCCTTGGCTCAGATCTTTAAGATACCATGTACCATGTTTTTTACACTCTGTTGCTTCTGTTCTACAGTAGAGAAAGGGGAAGCAGTTGGGCTGATTGGTATTGAATTTTTATTCTATAATGCTATATAGGAAATTCATTGAAATGAACTGATAATTTACAATTTTAAATTTGATCTGTATTTGATTTTTAGGGAGAAATTGGGCCTCAAGGACCACTAGGAAAAAAAGGAGCTCCAGGGATTCCTGTAGGTTAATGTCATTATTATCAGGATATATGAAATATAGTTATTATGTGCCATTTCTAATATTTTGCACCCTATGCTATGAATTAATGTATTTTACATTTTACAGGTGAAATACTAAATTGATAGCAAAGCATAATAGTGATGACATGGTATTTTCAATATGACCATACTGAGATTATGTTTCCTGATGATATTAATTGAATATTTTTTGCTCATCACATTTCCTTGGCTATATTTAAGAGAAAGCAATGTTTTTTAATGTTTGTTTTGGTATTTAAGGTAGAATCCAGAGGTGCCTGGGTGGCTCAGCTGGTTAAGCATCCCAACTCTTGATTTTGGCTCAGGTCATGGTCTCATAGTTGTGAGATTGAGCTCTGTGTCAGGCTCCACACTAAGCATGGAGCCTGCTTGGGATTCATTCTCTCTCTCTCTCTCTCTCCCTCCCTCCCTCCCTCTCTCTCCCCCCCTTCATTACTTGTGTTTTCTCTCTCTCTAAATAAACACTTAAAAAATAAAGTAGACTCCAAATTAAATCAGTTCCTTGTTGCTAGTTATTGTTGTTTTGTTTTGAGTCATATGGCTAGTTAAAAATATGACTATTTTGTAACTTGAAGAGAGATTGTTATATTCAGAGAATTTATTAGATTGTCACTCTTTCAGAATATCATTTAAGAAAATAGAAATTGGAAGTAAAGTTGACCAGGATAACATCTATAAAGAAACCTAATTCTTAATTACTTTTAAATTTATTTATTTTTGAGAGAGAAACAACATGAGTGGGGGAGGAGCAGAGAGAGAGAGGGACACAGAATCTGAAGCAGGCTCCAGGTTCTGAGCTGTCAGCACAGAGCTCAATGCGGGGCTCCAACCCAGGAACCCTGAGATGATGACCTGAGCAGAAGTTGAATACTTAACCAAATGAGCCACCCAGGCACCCCAAGAAACCTAATTCTTAGTCATCATGACATAAGGAAGAAAGTAAGAATGTAGAAAAAAATGAACTTTCCTTTACATTTGTCTTTTACTAGCTCTCCAGCAATTTTTGCTATTTGTAGGTTATTTGATTAACCACGTTAAGAGGTCTTTGCTGGCCTTCAGGCTATCTTGCATAGTTAGATTTTTTTATTATACTTTATTGAAGGAAATAAAACTCTTGAAACTTCCACTTAAAAATATAGGGTATGATGGGACGTGATGGCTCACCAGGTCAGCCTGGAACACCAGGATCTAAGGTAAATAAAATGAAATTAATAAGACAGAACACTTTGTGCAAAATTACCATTTGTGTGCCTCAGCAAAACTTTCAATTGTACTGATTTTAAGTGTGGTTTTAATTCTATGAACAGTCATTTGTAAGAATGAAACCTTAGACAAAATGAATTGTATAAAGTAGGCTAATGTAATGCAGGTCTTGTTTAAGCTGGAAAAAGTCCAGAATCTCTCACTACTTGACCCTCTTCTCCTTTATTGTCATCTCACGGGCACTGAGGATTATGTGGAGTTCTGTGGAGTTTCATGTCAAACCCCACCAATATAGAGGATTAGTGGTTTTGATTGAGGATGACTTTTGCCAATTTCTGAGTCCTCTTCTTGATATTTTTATTTAGTGGAATGTATATGGGGTTTTTATTGTAAAATGCCTTTTAGTGGGTTTTATTAGGCATTCTCTCCTTCAGGACTGTGGGTAAAATAGTGTATTATCTTTACTTTGATCTTTAAAAAATGTCAGGCAAACCTGACATACATATTCAGGATGTCAGGTTAGGTTATTTTCAAGATAGAATTGCAACTCCAAATACCATGGTTTGACCATTTTCTAGGTGTATAGAATCCTGTGCTAAGAGAACTATTTTTTTTTCTTGGTTTACTAGAAGGGTCAAATCAAGTACATTCTGGCTAGACTCAAACTATTCTCAACTATTTAATGATTAGAGAATGTAGGACAACCTTCCAAAGGAAATGATGGAATTGCTTTTTTAGAAGCATTGACCCTCTAACTAGACAATGTTGCACGGAAATAGACCCTGGCATGCAGAATGAGTAGATGAGTAGACAGCCTAATCTATTCTACTTTTAATTTCTAAATTACTTAGAGAAAGAAATAGGATAAAACATCATGGGGAAAGTATCTGCCCTTTCACCAATGGTAGACCCTCGTGAATCTTTGGAGTGTGGAGTCCTGGTAGTAGTAAGTGTGCACAGAGTTGGTATAAAACCCTTGAGTGACTGGGCCTGCCAAGTGGAGATTCTCCATAATTTTTCAAAGTCATTTTCTAAGAAGATGCTGAGTAGTTGTATATTTCTTAAGTAACTGGGATACGATGGATCCCCCAGGGTGTTCTGGATGCTCTAATTCTTAAGAATTCAACCTAAGATTTCATCAGCCACTTCACATTGTTAGCTCACACTGAGCAGGAGGTCAATTAAATCTACTGGAACTTCCGTAAAAGGTTTTTTAACAATACTTTGGTGTTATCTGCCATTTGAGTAGATTCTGCTGATATGGCTGGGAAGGCAAGTGGCTGTTTCCAGAATCACTTTGTTTATTTTGACATGAATTACTAAGAAGTTCGTTTCCTCTCATCTTGTACTTGTACAATTGTTTTGTTAAAAATAGATTCGAAGTGTTAAAATCCTACCTTTTAAATATAATCTTTTCAGTGAAACACTTCAAATTCTCCTCATGTAGTATGTTAGCTCAGGTGTTCTGCAAATGGCCAGATAGTAAATATTTGAATCTTTGAGGGCCATATAGTTGCTGTTGCAACTACTCAACTCTGCTGTTGTAATACAAAAGCAGCAGTGGACAAACAGGGATGTGCCTGTTTCTGGCAAAACTTTATTTACAAAAGCCTGCATTAGGCTGGAGTCAGCCCATCAACTGTAGGTTACTTACCTATGTGTTACTTTATCCCTGCCTATTTTGTCAACTAATATGTTTGTGAACTATGCCTTATCAGTTGCTATGAATTCTAGAGTGGGACCAAAAAAACAAAGCTGTATTAAACAGGGCAAAGATGAGGCTGAAACTTTGTGGTAGATCTTTAGAAAACTTCTGATTTGGTTTAGAATACCTTTTTAAAAAATAGCTACTGAACCATACTATATTCCAGTTTTTAAAATTATTATCTAAATGACATTAGGATAGGTAACATAATCAAGTCATGTGACTTGAAACAAGTTGTCACCTGTGGATTTCTGCTGAATCACTTGTAAAATTAGATATTTTAAGGAACCAATGCTCCACGGCTTAATAACGTTATGTGCTCAATGCTTAATGAAGTCCAAATATTGTGTTCATATGTTTCTCAACATGAGCAACCTAGAAAACTTTTCAAAAGCTGAAAATGCAGTTGGTTACCTTAATTATTAGTGTACCCAGTTTGGCTCTGGCTTTTGCCAGAACCAGGTTGGGATTTTAGGTATCAGAATGTGTATGAAAACCAACAGTACCTTTGACAGTCTCTCCTATTAGCCAGCAGACATATTCTCTCTGTATATCCCACCCTTTTTATAATTTTGTATTCTTTGTCAAATTGGTCTTGTCCTTCAAACTTTTGTTGGAAAGAACTTTACTTAAATCCTGACAAAGAACACAAAGTTTTCTTTTCATATATGCATGCGC